TGGTGTTTCATTGGGCCAGTGTGTGTAGAAGAACTCTTAACAGCACTCCAGCCTTGCTATTCCTTTGAATCACTAAAACTCAGTGAGCTCCTTCTGAAATCGTCATTAAACCAGTTTGTAAAGATTTACAGTATGTAAAGACTTTCAAAGAGAAGAAACACTATGCACAAAAAACCAAATTATGACATTTTTTAAAAAAAAAACTGGATACCACAACAAAAAGGTATAAAAATTTGTATTTATATTATGACGAGATAATGATACAACACAGTACTCCGTGTGCTACAGAACGTAGCAAGCGCCATGTACGTGCGTACAAATGGATCTGTATAATACAGTAAAATGCATCTCACAGACTATGAACCATTCCTTTGGCTCTGGGACCCAGAGGCTCTGGCACAGAACCCACTCGTAACACCTTTAGGTAACAATTTCCACCAGTAAGCAGCAGAAGGCTCTCAGTCAGTGCTTCACCTGCACCAAAGTTTCATCACTTAGACATCTGTATTGCACAGACCCTTCCCATGCCATAAATCCCACGTAACCACAGTTTATGCCTCTCATGCAAAATGGAAGAAAGAAATTCTGAAATTGGGGTGCCTTCACTCTGCTTTGCCAATGGGCCAGCCTCTGTCTGGCCATGCCTCCCCAGGAATCCTTTCCTGGGGTTATTTACGATGCTTCAGGCAGAGAGAACAGCCAAGGTGACCAAATGGTTTCTGGACTTTTCTGTTTCTTATATCCCCTGGATTTTAATTCTGGGTAGTTACTTGGATGTTTTCTTTGCAGCTACCAATTACGAACAGTGCTTTTAGGCAGTCACTTAAGCAAATTGGCTCATTTCATTGCTGGTAAAATTAATTTCTGGTGTGTTTGCCCCATTAGTATTTGTAGGGAGTACAGCTCTTTCTTAAAGGGTATCTAAAGGGATTCAATTATCCTTCCACCAATTTTGGAAAGTGCAAGTTAGTGCACTGTTACTGGCCCATACCACACAAACCAGTGGCCTCTACCAATTAAAAAAAAACAAACCAAACCAAACCAAACCAAACAAAAACAAACAAACAAACAAAAAATACAACAGGTTTCTGAAAGAGTAACTTTATCAGTGCCATCATAAAATTAAGTGTATAAAATTAATATTGCTTAATAAAAAACTGTGATGATGTGGCTGTTTTCAAAAATATTTCTTTTCCACAGGGCTGATCTGTGAGGATCAAAAATTGCACCGCTAATTACCAGTCTGCCAAGAAGTTGGTAAAATGGTGAAATAATCACTTGTTCCAGGAGCAGAGACTGCTGTAAGTACCTCCAGGAAAAGCCGAAGTACCCGCCCTTGAGCAGGTCTGCAGGCAGAGCCCACGCTCATACAACTTCACCTCTTTCCATTTCCCAGTTCTCCTCTTTTGGCATTTAAGTTCATGTGCTGAAATGGGTTATGCAAAGTGTACAGCTGGGTGCTCAGAATACTGGTTTTTTTCACTGTAATTTACTGCTAGATCACTAGCTATTTTTTTTTCTTTTTTACTTTTAATACTAAATGTTGGTAGGCTGCATGTCATATAGCTGAATCCATGCTTATCCATGTCAAAAAAAGTAACACCATTTAAGGCCAGACAGTCTTAATTCTGTAAGTTAGATGCAAGTTGTGTTAGATTTTAAGTCTTCTTTTTTTCCACCTCAAAGCTTACACTACTAATAAATTAGGATAGAAACTAATCTATAAATGCCAGATGAAAAACTATCCTTCTCATGGATTTTTGGGGGGCTTATTATTTCTGATTTAATCCAGTAAAACTCTCTGAACTGAGTTTGTCCTTTGCACAAGACAATGTGGGATCCAGCCTCTGCTTAACATCATGTTGAAGAGTTTCTACTGACAAACCTGCTCTTTTCAGAAGAATCAGCTGCAATGGGCCTGGCAGGGTACAAGTTGGGCAGAGAGAATGGATGTGAAGGAAGATTCATCCCCTGAATTACAGTGGAGAACGTGCAGAAAAAACCTAACAATTTGGGGCTGGTTTTTTGTGCCTCTCTGCGGTGATGAGAGAGTGCACTCCTGGAGCTGGAGGAAGCGCTAATCCAGGAGCAGTGAGGAGGCATATCCTCCCGACACCTGCCTGCTGCAAGGGAAAGCCCTTCCTTTCTTCTCCCCCCCAGGAAACAGGCCAAACCTCCACGTCTCCATAAAAAGAACTTCTCGATGACTTCATCCCTCCAGAGCCCTTTCCACAGAGGAAAAGACCTAGCAGCCCTGTAATCTTGTCCCTACTCCTTCTTTTCCGATGCTGTAATTGCAGGGGAATTCAGATGAGCTGAGCACTGGTACCTCCTCGCCTGCTAAAAGCCCCGTCACGACACACCACGGCAGCGCTGCCGAGATGGTGGCAGGATTTAATCTCGCAGCCAATGGTTTGCTTTTGGCAGTCATGTCGTGGTTACAGGTACAGTTGTGTGCACACACGGATGCATGCACACACACACACACACACACACACACACACAAATATGTCCAGCTTAAATAAAATTAATAAAAATAGATAGCACACTTTGCGTCCCAAGGGGTTACGGCCACAGGTAGCGCTGCACTGGCTGCTCAGTAGCAGGAGAATCATTCAGAGCCCCAGCTATGCCTGTGGGACTGCAGCTCTGCTGGGGGGGGCCAGACCAGCCACCAAACACGATACTTGGAACTGCTGCGCCATTGCCTCTAACTGGGCTGCTGCTGTCTGGGGAAGCTGTGCCTGAAAATTCCACCTTAAATTGGGCTGCGCTTGAGGGAGAATGACACAGGCAGTATGGTGTCATTTTTCTTTACCAGCATAATAGCTCCCAGCTGTAATAACTGAAAAAGTAAAAACAAATAAACCCTTTTTATTTCCACTCAAGATTATTCGAGTAATTTTTATTGAAAATATAAGATCTACAAAGCCATGGATACCCAGCGTGGAAGAACTCATTAAGTTAGCACATTCATCTTTAAAAGGAAAATTTCAGGTTGACCTAAGGTACAATAATGTTCAATTTAAAGTCTCGTTTTTCCTTCTGTAAGTTTCAAATCTTTTTTCATTCGGAGGTTCTGTGCAAGAGCTGCTTGTCATGAAAGGAAACACTTTACAATCCATGAATGTGTTCATTATATAATAAATGAACAGCAACAATATACTAGCCTTTTTTTTTCTTTTTTCCTGTTAACAGTCGTGTGTTAAAGTAAACGTTTTTTTTTTTTTTTTCCATGATTTGGAAATTAGTTACATATGCACCAAAGGAGCTAGTAATTTCTGCTGCTTGTCAGCTACACACAATGAGAATATTGCTGTGTGCTTTCCCCAACAATGAGGATTTTAGTAATATGCAAGGTGTATAGAACGTAATACCAAAACCTGCATCACAGAAAATTGTTAATTGGTTTTTTTTTTATTCAGCTGCCAGAGTTGATAACCTTAGGCCCCTCCCCAGAGCCAAAGTAGGGGTGGCCATCCATTAGGTTATGTAAATTAAATGTATGTTTTCCTTGTTGGCAAGTTCCAAGCAGTAAGCGAGAGTGCAAACAAGGATCTGTAAGCTGCCACAAAATGATTTCATATTTCTACCCCGTGTTGTAAGAGCCAAAGGGAGGACACGTATGTCAGATGTTGAAAGAACAACTGAACCTTTGTTTTTGATCATTATGGTCAGTCTGTCATGAGGTCTTGTATCCGAATGCTGAAAATGGCACCACACTTGGACATCCCATAGCCTTACGCAGCATGTTTGTGTTTCCTCAGCCACTGAGCGCTGGTCTCACAGAGACCCTGACTTTAGAAGCTAACAAAATATAGATTCGGGTGCTGAAGGATCCAAGGGAGGGCTCGTACAAAGACAATTCACCCTTGCACCAAAACCTAATGTTATGATTTCACTTAAAGCCACACTGAATCCGTTGTGAGAGGGTGAAGATATAAAGACACCTCTCTGCTTCTTCCGCAAGAAGGTGGACAACTGACCATTTGAACAGAGGGTCTTGAAACAAAGCTTAGTTGTCCTTTAAACAATGAAAAGGAGAGGCATACATAAATGGTCACCAAGGCACAATATGACAAAGGTGAAGAGTCCCTGAGACTCTGGTCTGGGTCTGTACCATTCCCCTCCCTATACAAGTAAATGAGAACATTTAGGAAAATATAATACAAAATCTCTTACAGGAAATATAGACTACACTTGCTAAAATCACTTCCCTAAAAGTGTTTATAGCTTTTTTCTTTTTTTTTCTTTTT